AAAAAAAGGAAAAGGAAAAGGAAAAAGCAAAACAAGGGAGACAGATAACCAAATGTAGCAAGATAAATAATATGTTTTTTTGTTTTTCTTCTGGTACCAGGAATTGAACTCACAACCTTGCACTTGCCAGGCAGGCGCTTTGCCACTGAGCTAAATCCCCAGCCCCAAGATAAATAATATGGAAGAAAAGAAAAACTACCTTTTTTATTGAAGGCCGTTTCACAGACCAACATCTCTCCAGGACCCCAGTCAAAGCATATTTGCTTCTTGGAATTCACACCTGGAATCAACTGGCAAAAAATAAGGCACAGAAACAATTATTCCTACTGAAGGCATTGCTTTTCAATCAACATGCAAGTATAATCCTAAAAACCAGTCATCAGGAAAGTTAACAAGTGCTAATCAATGCACACACCTGTGTGTCGCTGGGACAGCCTGGCTGTTGGATACTAACCGCCCTGAATAAGCAAGCAGGCTCTGCTGGGCACTTCAACCCAGTCTGCCCAGCTCAGGTGTTAATGAAAAGGAAAGCTACACCATAACCAATTCTTACACTGTAATTTAATGATCTGTGGTTCAGAAAAAGAAGTCAGAAATAAAGAATTGATGGGCCGAGGATATAGCTCAGTGGCATAAGTGCCAGCCTGGAAAGCGCAAAGTCGTGAGTTTGATTCCCAGTACCAAAAAAAAAGAATTGAACTGTTACTTTAAAAAAAAAAAAAAAGGTAGAAATTCACAATCTCAGCTATGTCCCCAGGGCCAGACAGTGGGTCTCTCCTTGCAGGAGTGGCCCAAGAGTGAAATCCGAACTGCCTAGGCCACAGCCAGAACAGAACAGGTGGTTAGAAAGTTCCTCCTGCTGTTTGTCAGATTATCTGTTGAAAATACAGCTGAAACTGTCCCCACTAAGGAAAAGGCATTATGCTTCCAGAAAAATCCAAGGAAAAGTACTGCAAGCAACTGTAGTAGCTGTGGGATCTGACTCTAAAGGAAAGGATGAAGATTCGGCCAGTTAGTGTGAAAGTCAGTGATGAGTTCTCCCAGAATACAGGGGCACCGAAGTAGTTCTAGACAACAAGCATTATTTCTTATTAAGAGACGGTGACATTCTTAGTATGTACACTGAAATAAATTTCTGTTGAAATGGCACTGCATGACACTGCCCATTCCACTGACATTCTCAAATCTTTTATCATGCAACTCATTTCCATATCTCTGTAATAAAGATGATATCTAAACTGACATCCACTGTCTCTAACATTTAGTTTCACTATACTGATATAAACTTTTCTGAATAAAATATGTAAATTAAGCCAGACAAGGTGGTGCATGCCTGTCTTGGGAAACTGAAGCAGGAGAATCCCCACCAGTTTGAGACCAGCCTGGGCTATATAGTGCAACCCTGTCTCAAAACACAGAAAAACATGCTGAGGATAGAGCTCAGCAACATAAGTGCCTGCCTGGCAACATCCTGAGTTCAATTCCCAGTACCAAAAACCAAAACCAAAAATCAAGTAAATAAATAATATTATTAACATTAATACTTAAAATAAATGATAATGTAAATATAAGCTGGGTGTGGTGTCAACCGGGTGTGGTGCCTGTAATCCCAACATTCAGGAGGCTGAGGCTGGAGGATCATTGTGAGTTCGAGACCAGCCTGGGCTCCAAAGTGAGCTCAAAGCCAGCCTGAACTGCATAGCCACACCCTGTCTCAAAAAGACAAAAAAAAAAAAAAGAAAGAAAGAAAAGATCAGCCAGGGCAATTTAGGGCAATATAGCTCAGTGCAAAGGGCTTGGGTTCAATCCCCAGTACCTGCACTCACCACACACACTCATAAAAATAACTTTTTTTTTTTCCCGGTACCAGGAATCAAACTCACAACCTCGCACTTGCCAGGCAGGCGCTGCGCCGCTGAGCTAAATCCCCAGCCCCATAAAAATAACATTTAAAATTTTAGAAATATTTTTAAAATTTTGAAGAGCTGGAGAGCCAGACATGGTGGCCCATGCCTGTAGTCCCAGCACTCAGGAGGCTGAGGCAGAGAATCACTGCAAGTTCGAGACCAGCCTGGGCTAAAAGTGAGCTCAAGGCCAGCCTGAACTGCATATGGAGACCCTGTCTCAAAAAGACCAAAAAAAAAAAAAGCAAAAATCCAGAACAAAAAAAATGATTACTGTCTTTGAATCTATACTTGATCATCCTTAAATGTGCCAACTACTAACATGCCATTATGTGTCATGAGAGCAGCTGTCTAAAAACAGTTTGAACTTGTACAGGAGTGGTAATTTAGACCCTAGAATACGGAGCTCTACCAAGATAATGCCCTTGAGACTACACACAGTGCCAACCAGCTTTCCATATGGTCTCCCTAATGCCAACTCAGTACTTCACTACTGGGTATAGACATCAGTTTAGAGCATCTTCATTCCTTTTGTAAATCACAGCTCAATATCAAAGTAAGGCTTGGAGCTGGACAGGGTGCCGGTGCTGAAAAGTTCCCCCCACCAAAGTTCTGACATGTAGGTTGAGAAAGTGCCAGTGACTGTGATACACCAATTCTTTTTCTCAAAAAAGAAAAATACATGGGCCAGGCATGATCGCGCACACCTATAATCCCAGCACTCTGAGAGGCTGAAACAGGAAGACTGCAAGCCTGCCTAGGGCAATCTAGCAACACCCTGTGTCAAAGTAAATAGAAATTTTTTAAGAGGGCTTGGGATGTAGCTCAGGACAAAGGGCCTGCGGTCAATTCCCAACACACCAAAATTTTTAAAAAAGCACACTCAGAATAATTTACCATTTAAGTGGGGTTTATAAAGTACAGAGAGCTAAGAGATGCAGAACTCTGAAAGCCTGTATTTGCACATATTTGACCTACTAGAAGTCCGGGGATGGTTTTGCTGAGTCTGCTGGAGCTTTCATTTGAAAAAACAGCAGGAGGTAAAGCAAGGAAGAGAAAAGTATTCTAGGGAGCGAGCACATGTCTGTCCTATCTAAAGCCTACGAATTTCTTCACCACAGACCAAGTACATCTGATATATGTACAATCTTTAGAACTCAAAGCAAACACAGGGTAATAAAAACAGGAAGAGTCCTCCAAGAGAACAAATTTGTTTAATAAACCTTAAGCCAACAGAGCACGACGGGCAGAAGTCAAGCTCACGGTGCTACGATGGGGAGCTTAGTTTGGCTGAAAAGAAAAAAATTCTGCTTGATCTGAGTCCCCTCTAATGCCCCAAAAGAAAAAAAGGGGAACAGAAAGGCTGGGAAGACAAGGGAGGGGGCGGGGCGGAGAGAAACCTCCGGGCTGGAGGTCTGCGAGAACACAAAGCAGCAGGACCCCAGCGACTGCTACCAGCTGCACCTAGCTCCTCGTTAATGCAGAAACCTCTGGAGGCCGGCAACTGAGCGGAAGGAGGAGACGAGATCATAGCAAGGAAAGAGACAAGCCTGCAGTGACAGAGCAGACGCCGTACTCGCAGTGCGAAGACAAACAAGCCCGTTCACAGCGCCCTTACAGTAACCGCCGGGTCCCCATCCAGCTCCTCCATGTCGGGCCCCGGACCTCGCCGAGCTGCTAACACTCCCGGCTCCGGCCTCCCGCCCTTAGGACAGCTACGAGAGAGGACCTCCGCCCTGGCGCCCCCGGTAGTGCCTGCAGGTCCGATTCGCCCAACTCTGCAGAGGCCTTCCCCTCAGCCACGATTCGTCCTCCTGAGGCTTCCACGTGTGTCCCTCCTCTCTGGCCTGGATAGCACGTCAAGGAAAAAAAGCACAGGAGAAGGCTACCCTCACACGACTTTCTCGCTAGATCAGGCGGCGCCGCAGACAGCCCCGCGCCAGGCCCGGAGAAGGCCCTCAGAGCCGGCGGGAGCAGGGAGGCGCGCACGGGGCGGGGCGCTGCGGTTGCGCATGCGTGCGCCGGCGCTGCCGCTGTCCCGCTGGATTTAGCGAGGGCCGGGGTTCTGTGAGCCCCTGCCTCCTGATGGGATCTGTTCTCGCTCCGTTCTGGCCTCTGCCTTAGCGTCTTCGTAGCCGCTGCTTGGACCCGAAAGGGTACAACGAACAGCCGTGTGTTTCAATGCTGTCGCCGCCACTCCCACCCAAAGCACGAGCACGCGGACAGAGTTGATGCAGCAGAAGCAACTGTGAAATCGAGACAGCTGGGCTTGCCTAACTACACACTGGTTTTGTTGTCGAGGGAAAGGGGAGCAAAGCGCTCAAAGGAGGGAATCCCTGGCCTTGTTTGGAAAAGTCAAACATGCTTGGACAGCTGCAAGGCATGAAGTTGTTTGTGCTTTGAGTAGCATACACAACAAAGATAGTACTGGGCCTGAATTTCCAATTAAGGAACTTTTTGAACGAATTTAATTCATAATTTAAAAGTAAGTCCTAAAAAAAAAGTAAGTCCTTGAGGGCTGGGAATGTAGTTTAGCGGTAACTTTGCTTACCTAGTATGGATTAGCCTCTGGGTTCAAGCCCCAGTAACAAAGAAACAAAAAAAAAAAAAAAAAGGAAAGAAAGGGAGAAAGTGAATTCATACTACACGGAAGGGTGACGCAGGAGGATTCTGGAGAATTTAGAAAAACCTATTTCCAAACGGAGACGGAGGGAGAGAGGGAGAGGGAAGCTGGGGGTGTAGTTCAGTGCAAAGGCCCTGGGTTCGATCCCTAGTACGTGGGAGTGAGGACAAGGGAAATTACAGCTAAGTAATAGTATTCTATATATTGACTTATTCAGTGTACAGAACTTTAGCCTCTCAATGCACTTCAGAGAATGGGGTTTCAGTGAAGTATTTTATGCATTTTTTTTTCTTTTTGGAACAGGGAATTGAATTCAGAACCTGGTGCTTGCCAGGCAGACGCTGTGCCCCTGAGCTATATTCCTGCTGGCCCGCATCATGGTTTTTTTTTTTTTTTCTTTTTGTCTTTTTGAGACAGGGTCTAGCTATGCAGTTCAGGTCGGCCTGGAGCTCACTTCCTAGCCCAGGCTGGTCTCGAACTCGCAACGATCCTCCTGCCTCAGCCTCCCAAGTACTGGGCTTACAGGCGTGTGCCACCACGCCCGGCTTGCTTTTTTATATAATCCTAAAAGAATATTACTGGAAAAATAAACAAGCCAGGAATGGTGGCATATGCCTGTCATCCAAATACTCTGAGAGGGTTTGGCAGAAGGATCTCAAATTCAAGCCTAGCCTGGGCCTTGCAACTTATAGAAGACCCTATTTTTTAAAGACATTGAAGCTAGGTATAGTGGCAATGCCTGTAATCCCAGCACTCAAGAGGCTGAGGCAGGAGGATCGTTGTGAGTTCAAGACCAGCCTAGGCTACACAAGTGAGCTCAAGACCAGTCTGAACTGCATAGCTAGACCCTGTCTCAAAAAGACAAAAGAAAAAAAAAGTAGCCCATGTAGTGTGAAGTGGATACATTTTCTTGCATGCTAATAAAACTAATGTCCCCTAGCCTGCAGAAAATCATTTCAAGAGATAATTATTTTGGAAAACAAGGTAAAAATCTATTAACAGGAATCATACAAATACGTGTGTACTTTGACCCAGGCAGTCCCATCCTGAAAATTTTTCAAAAATTTAAAGACACAAAAGGTATGTGCATTTCACTATGTGCACTATATAACAAAAGAATGAAATAGAAATTTCCCAATCGCTACAGTACTGATAGTTTGGACTTCATAATTCTACAATGTAAGATGTAGAGTTTTCTGTTTCACTTTCAATTTTGGTAGTACTAGGGATTGAACCCAGTACCTCACACTTGCCACTGAGCTATATCTCCAACCCTCACCCCTTTTGTCAGACAAATCTTTCTAAATTGCCCAGGCTGGTCTTGAACTTACAATTCTCCTGCCTCAGTCTCCAAGTAGCTGGGATTATAGAGTATTTACAACATAACCCAGTTAGTTGTAAATTGTTTAACAAAATCCCTAGTTTCTACTCATTACAGGTGAATAACACCCCTCAAAGGAGATGACATCCGGGAATGTATCTAGATAATCCTTGTGTCCCCTAGATGGCAAAATTACCACTGTTAATATACTACCTGTATCATATATCTGTATAATATATATATATTTTGTTTCTTTGAGACAAGGCCTCTGGCCAGGGATGCAGCTCAATGGCACAAGCACCTGCCTGGCAAGTGCAAGGTCCTGAGTTCGATTCCCAGTACCAAAAAAAAAAAGGAGAGGGTTTTGCTATGCAGTTCAGGCTGGCCTTGAGCACACTTTGTAGCACAGGCTGGCTTCAAACTTGTAATGATCCTCCCAAGTGCTGGTATTACAGGCGTGTGCCACCACACCCAGCTTGTATTTCTATATATATATATATTTGTAACAATCAAAACAGCTACTGAAATAGACTGGGCATGATGGTACCCACTGTAATCCCCCGTATTGGGGAAAGTGAAGCAGAATTACTGTTGGGTGGCATCATGGTACATGCCTGTAATCCCAGCACTGGGGAGGCTGAGGCAGGAGGATCGCTGTAAATTAGGTCAGTTGGGCTACATGGTGAGTTTGAGGCTAGCCAACACTACACACCAAGACCCTGTCTCAAAAAACAAAACCTTAACAAAAAAGCCATAGATGGTCAATCAAAGAGGAATACCTAAATAAATATATGAGTGAGATGTTATGTATTTAAAATAAATATTAGGCAGGCATAGTGGCACATGCCTGTAATCCCAGCACTCGGGAGTCTGAGGTAGGAGGATTGTTGTGAGTTTGAGGCCAGCCTGGGCTACAAAGTGAGCTCAAGGTCAGCCTGAACTGCATAGCGAGACCCTGTCTCAAAAAAACAAAAAATAATAACTAAATAATAAAAAAAAAATTAAAAATGAGACTAGGTAGGTAGCTCAGTATGAAGGCCCTAAGTTCAATGCCCAGTACCACAAAATAAACAAATAAAATGGGCTGGTGATGTAGCTCAATGTGAAGACCCTGAGTTTGATCCCAGTACTACCAAAAAAAAAAAAAAGAAAACTACTATAAATAGTGTCTCCAGCCAGGCATGGTGGCACACTCCTGTAATCCTAGCACTTGGGAGGCTGAGGCGGGAGGATCGTTGCGAGTTTGAGACCAGCCTGGGCTACAGAGTGAGCTCAAGGCCAGCCTGAACTGCAGAGCAAGACCCTATCTCAAAAAAACAAACACAACAAAACAAAAAAATAGTGTCTCCAGTATACTGTATGTAGGCTGGGCACTGTGGGTCCTGCCTGTGATCTCAGTACGTGGGAGACTGAGGCAGGAATGTCACTGTGAGTTTAAGGTAGGCCTGGGATACAAAATTCAAGGATGGCCTGAACTACAAAGTGAGATTCTGTCTCAAAGACAAAAGAAAGGAAAAAAAAAAAAAAA